GAAGGCTTTCTTTCTGGAAGAGGTTAAGGATGGGGAAACATGGTGCTATTGGAACCAAAGATCTTGTGGAAGCGCCGTAATGCAGGACTTCAGAAACCCTCCAGGGCGAATTTTGAGGACTCTGGAGGGGACAGAGGGAACATTATAGGTTGCAAGTGGGTGCTTTAGAAGGTTGCCAGGTTTCAGGTATAATCTGAGCTGAATTCTGATAATAACCACTGTCAGATCACTTGCAATCATCTCAGCATAGTTAAGAGCATAGGCTTTACTGTTTGCTAGTCATGAGACCTTTGGCAAATTACTGAACTTTCAGAGATTACTTTCTTACTTGCAGAATCATACCCACTGCACAGAGTCCTTATGGGGAGTGAACAAGATAATGTGTATAATGTGCTTAGCACAATGCGTGGCACGTGGCACCCAGTAAATATTATTTATTATACCACACCATGGCAACTGGCTGAAGGTATCACTAGAGTGAGATCCTGTTACTTTTGTCCTTTCTCCTTATTCTAGCCCCTTTATGTCAACCCCCAAAGCTCTTTAGCATGCTTTTGCTTTCAGGTTTATTATTTCTAGGCAGGTGTGTATCTTTGACGTATAGTACTTCTCTACTTCTGCGATCAACAAGCCTGTTCTTTTCTTTTTTTTGTTTTGGCGGGGCATGGAGATGGGGCATATTTCAGTTGTAAATTTCATCTCATTAAATTGAAAAGATGTACTTATTACAGTGTTATATCAATTTTATTACCCTTTTTTTTTTTGCTTTTGACTATAACTACCAAGACATAGATGTTGTTGGAAAGGGGAATGGAAAGTACAAGAATTTGAAGCAACTTCTTCTTTTCAGAGGGTTCATCCCTTCAGGTTTTGAGTAAAATAAATAAATAAATAAAATATTTCAGTGGATGCCAACTCCAAAGATAACTGGTTAAACAAAACATTTTCTGTGACAATCGCATCTTAAGATACGAAAGCTCACCAAAAAAAAAAAAAAGGTTGAGAAGTTAGAGGGTTGACATGTTGTGGGGTTGTTAACCAGTGTCATAAAACAATATGTGTACTACTGTTTCATGAGAAACTATTCTGTAAGCCTTCACCTGAAGTACAATAAAAAAAAAAGATATGAAAGCACTTAAGGATATAGACTCAATGGTAATCAGATAACAGATTTTTCCGCTGCATTTTACAAGATGCAAGGGTGAGATTGTCAGATACAAGGCATAGAGTGTCTGCTTCAGATTTGTAGTGTAATTATTTCTGAATCAGACCTGGAAACCATTTCTCTGGTGTTCAGGGGTTGGTAGGGTTTGCTTTTAACTCAGAGTGACTTGGTGTGTTTAGTTATCACTCTAAAGAGCCTTTGTGACGCTTGCAGATGTTTTCAAGAAGAGCTCTTTAGACCAACGGGAGGGGGCCTCTGCACAATTTTGCATGCTGGGTTTTAAATTTAAGTTGAGGAAAGATTTGAGCATTTCTGCATTTACAAATGAAAGGAGTTCCAAAAAACTTGAAAGGGGGCCTTTGAGGGAAGAAGTGAATTTGAGTAGGCACCTCTTTTTAGTAATCCTTAACTGCTTTTTTTTTTTAAGTTGCAATTAAATGAACGTTGATTTTAAGTGATAATGATTTTTTCTAAATGATTTAATACAGTTTAATAATAAGGTAGAACGACTTTGTGTGTACAGACACTAGTGTTTAGAATTAAAAGTGGTCCTGCTTCACAATCCTAGAGTAGATAAGTATTGATAATCTATAGCAGCATTTGATTTTCAGTGAGACGCGCTGGCATTTTGCCTCCAAAAAACCAGAGTGAGCAGGGTTGATCATTAGAACTTTCTCCATATTCCTCCATTGGATAATGAGGCTTTCTTATCTCACCAGTGCCCCATTCCTTAAAACCGTCCATTTCTTTCTTGTGTCCTTCAAACTCTCTCCCAAATGAAATCTTCATTTCCCTCATCATACCAAAAACAAAAAACCCCAAACCCGTTGCTGTTGAGTTGATTCTGACTCATAGTGACCGTATAGAACAGAGTAGATCTGCTCCATAGGGTTTCCAAGGAACAGCTGGTAGGTTCGAACTGCCGACCTTTTGGTTAGCAGGCGAGCTCTTAACCGCTGCGCCGCCAGGACTCCTCCCTCATCATAACTGTTAGCTAATCTGAATTATTTAAGTTAATTCAGTTTAAGGTGTGAAATGACTGATAGGCCTTCCCCCTAGAGCATGGTATATAAATTATATGGATTAAAATGAAACTTGTAAAGCTAAGCAGAAAACTTGTTAACCCAAGTGCTTTAATATATAGATCGCTTGTTTACCTTCATACTTCAGACTTCCTTCTTTCTGAACTCCCAGTTTCTAAGAGAACGTTGTTCCCTAAATGAGTTAAGAAGAGGAGAAAGAATAATGAGAGGGAACAGAATCTTTTTCTACTTGACAAGTAGGTATAGCAACTTGGACTTTTTTCCCTCTCAGGTCCTTTCTTTGTAATCTCAATTACATTTTTGTTGTTGTTTAAATACTCTTTTTATGAAACGTTACCACTTAGTTGCAGGTTCCTATCTCCCCGTTTGCCATAAGATAAATACTCCTAAATTACATGTTATGTGCTCTTATTCCACGAAACTTGTGATTTTACTGTTTTTTTCTAACGGAAATAAGTTCTGTTTGCGTGATGAATTTTTTCCACCAAGGAGTAAAAGTCACTGCTAAATGTGTCCCTCTTGTTAAAATAATAATTCCGACCCCTGTTGATCAAATGCCGGGCACTGCACTGGGCTTTTTATGTACATTATATCCAATTTTCACAGCAACCCTTACATAAGAAAGAAGTTCATATCTCCCTCTTATAGTTGAGGAAACTGAAGTTCAGAGGGAATAAGTAATCTGTCCAGGTTTGCACCACGTGTAAATAATAGAGCTGATTCTAAGCCTGTCTGCCTTTGATTATACACTTTTCCTCAACATTTCAAAAGTACCTTAAGTGTTTTGGTGCCCATACTTAAAGTACTTTTTAGAGTGTGTTAGCAGCGTGTTGATTCTAGCAATTTCTAAAGTTTATCAGTGCACTCCTAGAAGTATTTTGTAATCTATTTGTTCTGCTTTAAACTTCTGTTAGGTGCAGTCACTTTATTATTAATATTTTTCAAGGATGGTACCATAATTAATGTAGTGTCTAGCATAGTAGAAAGTAATAGATGCTTAAGAAATATTTACTGCATGAAGAAAAATAACAAAGAGAGGTGGCAGTTAATGTAGGGGTGGCTGTTCATATAAAATTCATTTCTCTTGGAATGTGAGGCGGGAAGGTTTCTCATATTTCAGCCTGCCGCAGGGCAGGGCTAGAATCCAAGCTTTGATTAAAATCACCCAAACCCTTTTTACTTTGCTTTACAACCATGAGTTTTTGCCAGCTGAAAAGGATAATGGAGGTAGTGATGAATGCATTTCCATCTGCTGCCAAAAAAAAAAAAAAAATTTTTTTTTAGACAGTTTTATTCTTTTCAAACCTAGATGAAAAGGCTGCTTTGAAAATGAAGAGTAAATTAGTAGCTATCAAATAAGTAGTTATTAGATCCCTGCCCGAGAAGCCCGTCCAGGTGATGCTGATGGAGTTTTCTGCTGGTTAACAGTTCACTCTCAAATATTTCCTCCCCGGGGGTGTGTGTAAGAATTCACGCATTCTTTAGCGGCTTTGCTTTTCACCCTCCACTTGCAGATTTTAGATTGAGGTGTTACTTTCCCGGAGACTGCTTAGGTTTTCTTAGGCTCTCAAGGTCAGATGCAAACAGAGCGATTAGAATTATCTCCAGTAGATCCTTTTACTCATTGGAACCTGAGAAAAACAAGCCATTTGAATAGCGTGTATCTGTAATATATTAGCCCTCACCCCTCCCCATAGCAGTTACACTGTGAGCAGGGCATATTGAATTGCTGTGGTTACAGAATAGTTGATGGTTCTTGATTCTTTTTGACTTTTACTATGCTTGATTGACCCTTATGGTTGGCCCTCAGGATCACTTCAGCAGAAACATAGAAAAATTTCATGAGTCTCTTAATACTGTAATCTAATTACTAGTCATTAGAGCCCTGGGCTAGAAAGAGCATATTAGTAGTGACCTTTCTGCTTTAATTTTTCTTTTTTAAATTTTTATTGTGCCTTAGGTGAAAGTTTACAGTGCAAATTAGTTTCTCATTCAAAAATTTATACACAGATTGTTTTGTGACATTGGTTGCAATCCCTGCAGTGTGTCAGCACCCTCCCCCTTTCGCTTTTCACCCTGGCCATTTGTCCAGTTTTCCCGTCCCTTCCTACCTTCTCGTCTTTGCTTTTGGGCAGGTGTTGCCATTTGGTCTTCTATACTTGATTGAACTAAGGAGCACGTTCCTCACATATGTTACTGTTTGTTTTATAGGTTTGTCTAATCTTTGACTGAAAGGTGGACTTCGGAAGTGACTTCAGTTCTGAGTTAGCAAGGTGTCCGGGGCCCATAGTCTCTGGAGTTCCTCCAGTCTGTGTCAGACCAGTAAGTCTGGTCTTTTTTGCAAATTTGAATTTTGTTCTACATTTTTCTCCTGATCTTTCCAGGACCGTCTACTGTGATCCCTGTCAGAGCAGTCGGTGGTGGTAGCCAGGCACCATCTAGTTCTTCTGGGCTCAGGCTGGTGGAGGCTGTGGTTCATGTGGTCCATTCATCCTTTGGAGTAATATTTTCCTTGTGTATTTGGTTTTCTTCATTCTCCTTTGCTCCAGGCAGGATGGGATAAATAGATGTATCTTAGGTGGCCACTCACAAGCTTTTAAGACCCCAGATGCTACTCAAAAAAGTAGGAAGTAGAACATTTTCTTTATGAACTGTTATGCCAGTTGACCTAGATACCCCCTGAGACCATGATCTCTAGCCTTCAGCCCCAGCAACTTGGTCCCTCAAGGTGTTTGGAGGTGTCTAGGAAGCTTCTGTGACTTTGCCTTGGTCAAGTTGTGCTGACTTCCCCTATAATGTGTGTTGTCTTTCCCTTCACCAAAGTTAACGCGTCTACTATCTAGTTTTTATTGTGGTTCTTTGATATTGACTTCCAGGTCATTGTATTTGCTGAATCCTGTATGATGGCCATTAGGATTATCTACTTTTAGCAGGGAGTGAGTACATAAATTATGAGTTCTTTATTTAACCATTGTTTAAGGTGATTTTGACCTGTGGCTTATCCTTCTGCTAGTGTGGTGTTATAAAAAAGTTTACAAAGAGAATAATAATTATAAGATTAGCTAACAATTATTAAATATTTACTATTTGCTAATCGATGTGCTAAGTGCTTTGTATCTGTTATATCCAATTTAATCTTCACTGCAATCCTGTTAAGGGGTATTATTATACCAATTTTACAGATACAGAAAATGAGGTATATGGGGGCTAAATAGCTTGTCTAAATTACGCTGTAAGTATTAGAAATAGGATTTGAATGTGGCAACCTGACCTCAGAGTCTTGGCGCTTACTACTCTGCTATATAGATCAAACTGATGGCCTTCTGTTTTATACGTAATAGAGCTCTATTTAAGATTTCCACTCATAAAATCCCTTCTGTCGTTTTCTTTTAGAGTCTGTGTATACATGCGGATTTTCCATTTCAATTCTAATAAAACTTCCATCTTTAGTTTCCGTGGTTGCTGGTTGGTTTCTTGCAAAGTATTTTCAGCGTTTAGCATTTTTATTTCAGGTAAGGTGATTATGTTGCCTCGTTGACAACATTTGTGTTTTAAAGTTGTGGGTGATCAATCCTCTGTGCTGGTGGAGCTGAAAGTTAAAGCACTTACACTTTTTGGGGGATTATATTATACTTTTGGGGGGCAGATTTGCCTTTCTAAGTGTGTCTTAGATACATATGGAAATTAATTTTTAATCTCTAGATGTACAGATGGGGAAATTCTGGAAGCATCCTGTGTAGAAGAGAAAGAAATCCTCTCAGAATCTAAAATTGGCTGTGAGGAATAAAAAAGGGGGAGTGGGCTTTATTGGGTTGTTGACTTAGAGAGTCTTTCACATTTTTTTGTCCTTACAGTCAACCTTTGTTATGCCGTTACTGTGAGATACTTGACTTACCAGGCTTTTTCTGAACACTTTAAATTTTGGAGCACAGTTTCTAAATCCATGAAGTAATCTTGATACAATAGGATGTTATTGTATTTTTGGATTACTTGTGCATTCGGAATTTTAACAAATCTTAACTGAGGTGAGTTATGCTTATTTGAGGTGGCATAATAATCATTCTTTTTTCTTGTAGAAAGGGAGAGGTGTAGCTATCTAATAAAGCAGCAACTGTGTTTTCTTTGTTTTATATGCAATATTTAATCTTTGCATTCTGCTATGAAAAGGGTGTTTGCTTCAGATTGAACTTAGTCTTTCTTCTGAAAACCTAGACACATTTAAGCATAGTTTTAGGAACATGTAATAAGCTTGGGATACTACACATAATATAGTTTTATTTAGAAGCCTGTTAGTCCTGAATAAGGAAGGAATATGTAGAAAGTCAAGGAACCAAGTGTGACTGAATTCTGTGTAATAGTTGTGATATTTATGATTAAAGTAGACTGATTCACCGACTTAAAATAATGACCTGATTTGTTAGTGAACATAACTTCAGTGCCGTGAAATGAAGGCAAAGGGAAAAAGGTATTTGTGTGACTTTGTGCCAGGCACTGTACTAGGTATAGTACACTTGCATGTTAGCTCAGATCCTAAGGTAAAAACTTTGTATTATTATCTCTTTTTTTAAAGATGAGGAAACTGAAATTTAAAAAGTAGGTGATTTGCCTGTGGTTAGAACTAATAAATGCAAAGCTGGAATTTGAACTCAGGAGTACCTGACTCCAAAGCCTGAATTCTTTCTACCATGTCATATGCTTTCTTGTCTTCTTTTGGATTTTTTTCCCTTTCATTCTGTTTTTCTCTTCAACTAGGTTGGAAGGTACCCATTCTATTTCTTGTCTTTTAGTAGTTACCTTAGAATGATGATATATATGTTTAACAAAGTCTAAATGGCAAGACTTCAGCTCGTTTACTTTGGACACTTGATTAGGGAAGACCAGTAACTAGAAAAGGACATCCTGGTTGGGGAAGTAGAGGGTCAGCAAAATCTATAGAAACCTACAATGAGATGGATTGACACAATAACCAAAATAATGGACTCAGACATACCAAAGATTATGAAAATGGCACAGGACTGGGTAACGTTTTGTTTTGTTATAGATAAGGTTGCCCTGAGTTGGAGTGGCAACTAACAACAAATATAAATAGCATTTTTATCCTCTTGAGCAATAAGATCAACCTCCTTCTGACATGAACTATTTTTATGGAATGTTGTCGTTCTGGGTCTTAATTTTTTGTTTTTTGTTTTTTTACTGTGCTTTAGGTGAAAGTTTACAGAGCAAATTAGTTTCTCATTTAACAATTAATACACATACTGTTTTGTGACATTGGTTGCCAAACCGCGATATGTCAATACTCCCCCCCACCCCCGCTTCTTGATCTCGGGTTACCCATTTCCGTTCATCCAGTTTTGCTGTCCCTTCCTTCCTTTTGTCTTTGCTTTTGGGCTGGTGGGCCCATTTAGTCTTGTATATATGGTTGAACTGTGTGTGTTATTGTTTGTTTTATAGGCCTATTTAATCTTTGCCTGAAGGTTGAACTTCAGGTGTGACTTCAGTACTGAGTTAAAAGGGTGTCCAGAGGCTATACTCTTGGGGTTTTTCCAGGCTTTGTCAGACCAAGCCTGGTCTTTTTTTTATTAGTTTGAATTTTGTTCTACATTTTTCTCCAGCCCTGTCCGGGACCCTCTATTGTGATCCTTGTCGGTGCAGTCAGTGGTGGTAGCAGGCCACCATCTAGTTGTTCTGGACTCAGTCTATTGGAGGCTGTGGTAGTTGTGGTCCATTAGTCCTTTGGACTAATCTTTCCCTTTTTGTCTTTGGTTTTCTTCATTCTCCCTTGCTGCAGCTGGGATGGAACCAGTAGACGTATCTTAGATGGTCACTCATGAGTTTTTATGCATCTTAATTTTTTAATCCCAGAAATAACAGTGTATAGATTTACCCATATATATTCATCCTTTTTTTTTCTTTTTGCTGATTGTTTCTTCTTGCATATCAGCTATGAGGTGAATTGTTTTTTAATGTACCCCATTGAGGAGTTTTATGTGAGAGAGTCTTTGCTCTGGCTCGTCACCTTGCTTGGGCCCTCAAGTTTTGCCTCCTGCAGCTGTCCCCTCACCCACCAAGTTCATGCCTTCCGGACTATGCAGTGCTCCTAGGGCATACTGGTTTCAGAACTGGCTCACCTCTCTGGATTTGTGCTTTCTTACCATTTCTGCTCTTAGAGGATTTCTCTTTACTGCTAGTTCTGCCATACATTTAAAAAAGATGTTTAATCCCACTCCTAGGAATATATCCTAGAGAAATAAGAGTCGTCACTCGAATAGACATATGCACACCTATGTTCATGGCAGCATTGTTTACAATAGCAAAACGATGGAAACAACCTAGATGCCCATCAACAGATGAATGGATAAACAAACTATGGTACATACACACAATGGAGTACTATGC